AGGTCCTATTTAATTTTATAGTCCAGTAGTTTGGTTAAACAGTGCTGTACTGACTGATATGACACTAAAACTACTAGTTCTGGTCTGGAACGTTGCACACTGTTTGCGTTTCATGGCCTCAGCTGCTGCACATAGCAGATTATTAGGCTTTTTGCATTACGCAGCAGATTTTGTGATTATATAAAGTTATCTGGTTTAATTTGCTAGCATAAGCTAATTGTGAACCTAACTTGATTCAGTGGCATGAGTATGTATGAGGTTTGGATGCATTTTATGTATTTTTACTTTTACGATGAAGGTGTTTTTGTTCAGATTCACCAGTTCAGTCTGTCATACAGTTAATGAGCGAGTGTTTCATACTGGGTTCAAGCTTTGTCCTGTCATCAGGCGTCCTCATATATTGGGAGATTGTGAGTTTGAATCCCAGTCATGGGTCAACAGTATCAGCTAACCAATATATTGGTCAGACCTTACAATATACACACTGCACAAACATGATTTAAGCCGCTTTGAATTCAATTCAATTCAATTCAACTTTATTGTCATTATACTGAAACAGGGTTGTACAGTACAACGAAACACTTTTAGGCTAGATCTCCAGTGCAATTACAGACAACATAGTGCAAGACAGGACATAGTGCAAGACAGGACATAGTGCAGGGACATAGAACAATAAATACAGAAAATAAATACAAGTATATACATTGCAGTAGGTGTGCTGGTACTTTAACATGCGAAACATTTCCTCCTGTATGGCTCCCTACTTAAACTTTAGATGTCTACTATTGTTATTATTAGTATTGTTGTTGATTTGCTATATTATTTAAATCTATTTACATAACTACATACATATTTACATATGTAATTAATGAGAATCTACACTTCCCACACATTTTCCTCACTTGTTTCAATGAGATACGAGCCAGAAACAATTTATATTCAAATAAATTACTACCACCTCTGTTGTAAACAAGCCAACCTGCTCCTACAGCTGTGCTGCAGTAAAGCGAGATTTTCCAGTTTAAAGTCTAAGAGAACCTCCTTCTGATGACGCATCCTGAAGGTGGGAGGAACGTCTGGAAAGCTGCAGCTGCTCTGGGGTGAATTTTTGCTAGTTTGTTTGTGTTTATTAGCCTACAGATCAGTGGCTAGCTGTCAGGATTTGTTGGCACCACAGGGATTCCCAAAGGTTGTATGATGCTTTTGGATAATGCATGCTGGGTATTGTAGTGGGAGATGAAATAAAACGGAGAATTCTGTCAAACTGATTAGTTTGTGGGATTATAATTCACAGTAAAACACAATAAATAACACAATAAATAATGTGTTAAACTCGAGTTTTAGGCCGGAACGCCCCGTTTCGCGGGACACTCTGTAATTGAGATATTTTGTCCCAACAAAGATATAAATACATGTACACACACATACAATCAGATCATAGCATGCGAGCACACACACACACACACACGTCCCACAGAACAGCCAACATAACATCATGCTAAATTAGATCAAAGCAGCGTACAGATTAACCTTGACCTCTGAAGGCCTTCTCACTGACCAAACAACATCAGAAAGCATGAAATAAAGTGCACGCACAGACACACACACACACACACACACACACACGCACAGACACACACACACACAAACACACGCACACACAAACACACGCACACACACACACACACAGTGAAACACTGCTTGATGCTGTTAAACAGAGCTTCATTGGTTCTATGGATGAAGATCAGAGTTGAATTTAATTTAAAAGGATCTTCATCGCCCCCTACAGGCATATCAGCTACACACCAGTAACAGTTTATGAGCAGCACAGACAGACGCACGTTCTGAAAAAAATGCCTTGATCTAAATTTGATGATTCAAATTCATTATGATTCAGTTATATTATACTGATTAGAATAATATTCAATAAAGTTTCCATTTTTGGCCAAAATGCTTATTGTTTTTATTGTCTATATTTCAGTATTGTGTATGTAGTTCCTCCCATCACATTTGTGTGTATCTGAGTGTATTTTTTTAAATAATTCAGAGCCTTGCCAACCTATTCAAAATGAACCAGATCAAATGACAGTGAAATCTGAGATGCAGTGGTGCAGCGAATCATTTAATAAAGAATCGTAACCGAATTGAATCAACTCACAGTTGCCTTGAATGGAATTGTAGGGCAGATATTTACAGCCCTATCTGCGGTATGTTTCCTAGGTAAGGTAAAACCGTGTGTGTGTGTGCGTGGGTGAGTGTGGGTGAGTGTGTGTTACCGGGTTCTGGAAGCAGCAGTAGAGCTTTGTGAGGTACGGATGAGAGCAAGCGAGGGACAGCACTCGTTTTTCTGTCATTGTGCACTCCACATCATCGTCCTGCAGAATGATGTCCTTTTTCAGCACTTTTATGGCGAAAACTTGATCAGAGCTGTTCAGACGCGCCAGCATCACCTATATAAACACACACACACACACACACACACACACACACACACACACACACACGTATGTTCAGAGAAAGTAACATAAGTATAATAATCATAGTAACAAACGTAATCAAAACAACTGGAAAAGTTCATTTCCTGAAGAAACCGCAGAGCAACAGTGCAGCTTAAGCAGTTCCCTGGGGTTACTAGAGTGTTGCTATGGTATTTTAGGCAGTTGCCTTGGCACTGCTAAGCGGTTGCTAAGGGATCCATAGTGGTTGCTAGGGTGTTATCTAGCATTTGCCACAGGGTGTGGCTCGGCAGTTGCTATGTTGTCCCAGGTGGTTGCTAAGTTGTTGTTAGGGTGGCAACTATGGTATCTCTGGTGGTTGCCAGGATGCTGCTGCGTGGCTGCTACGGTATTGAAGGTGATCGTTAGGATACTGCTAGGTGGCTACTAAGGTGTCTCTCATGGTGGCTGGTAGGTTGGGAGGCTATGATATCCGAGATGGTTTCTAGGGTGTTTCTACAGTACTTGTATTATGGTGGCATAAGAGGGGTGTGAAAACATTTTCTTGAACATTCCTCTAAAAACAGTTCTGCTATAAAACTAAAAAAGCCATGAAAAGGTCAGTTTCGAACGCAGACCGATTTCAGAACGTCTCTCATATACACACACCTTCCCGAAGCTGCCTTTGCCGAGGACCTGCAGGAAGGTGAAGTCCTCCATGCCCAGAATCCGGCCCCGCTCTTTGTTTGAAGCTTCAGATTCTCTCTTCACGCTCATATTGCGCGAGTGCGCTTCCAGAGCTGCTGGAGTCTGTACACACACAAAGACAATAAAAATATTAATAATACAGTGGATGATCAGTTTTGGGGACACCTTGCCTTCTTTTTCCAAGCGAGGTTTGATTTTCACTGTCACTTAACAATAAAGCAAAAAACAAAAAAGGTTTAGTTCATCATAAAGCAGCTCAGTGCTGTTTTGAATATATATCAGCTTCATGTTTATCAGAGCGCCCTCCTCTATATAAAGAGCAGGTTTATCTAAACTGCTGTTAAAAGCTCATACCGAAACTCTTTTGGTCCAAAGGAGCTTCAAACACCTGGAAGGTTTAAGTGCTGACATCACAACAAGGGGATAAAGTGGGCATGGCTTCATTCCCAAACTAGCACTGAGTGTGTTTACATGCACTCAATAATATGGTCATAATCTGATTTCTGCAGTTATCTGATTACTTAAGTGGACATGTAAACAACACACTCTTTCTTAGACTGGAGTAAGGTCTAGAAATCTGATTAAGAAGTCTGATAAAGAGGCTGGATTTTAATAACTCTTTAATCAGAGTTCTCAGTGCATTGAACTCTTACTCTGATTTCTTTCGGATTTCTCAGTCTGAGCATGTCCGAAAACAGACAGCGATACCGGAAATAAGCAAGCAGCGTCGCCGCGAGACGCAGCAAAACACTTTTGGAGTGACGCTGAAACCAAATATATGCTTGACGAAATAAAGGATGTAAATATTTTTCATCTTCTAGATGATGTTTGTTCATATTTTCAGGTAAAGTGACTCGATGTTTTAACAAAAAAAAGTCATGGTATGAAGTTTTACATTATGTTTATGTCACGTCTTATTCTGGGAGTTTATTGGCTGGTTGTAAAGCAGAAATCTGATTACTGACTCATGTAGACCTGGAGTTTCCTCATTATCTGATTACTCAAGTGCATGTAAATGCGTTGATCAGATCTGCAGGTAACGGAATATTAAGTGCATGTAAACACACTCACTGTCACTAATATTGGCACAGATATTAACAAGTGTGACCTAGATTGGTTTCCTCTAGCTCACGGGTGCCCAAACATTTTGTCTGTGCGGGAAATGTGCAGAGTTTGAGGTGGGCCGAGGGCCAAAAAGACAAAACAAAACTGAAACTGAAAAACCAGCAAATAAAACACAATCATTTGAGTTAAAAACAGTTTGTGTCCCTAAACTTTTGAAGGCAGTGTGTGTGACGCTGCGTACCAGCGAGTTGCGTTTGGACATCCCTCCGGGCTGCAGGCCCATTTCTGCCAGTTTATTGGCCAGTTCCACGTTGTTCACTCCGCAGTTCGGCGCTACATTCCCCTTACAGCGTATATGAACATTCATCTTACAAACTGCACAGAAAAACAAACACAGAACGCTCAAAACACAGAAACGTTCCACTGAAAGAAACTACACACCGAATTAAACTTAGAGGTCACAGTTATGGTCAGATATCACATCAGGCTGTTATATTAGAGGAACTATTTCTGACAAAAAGTTAAAGAAACTGGAAAGCGCAGATTCTAAACCTTCAGTCCAGACCAGATCTGTGTTTGTGAGTAGAGGAGATATTTTATTATGAGTGGAATTTGAAAGTCGTCTTTTCAAAAACATATCCTTTACATTTTTGCTGGTTTTGTCATTTTTTAGAATCAAAATTAACTGAAAACAATCAGAAGTGCAGACTAAAATCTGTCCATACAGAATGTAAATTAAATGCAAACATAATTGATTATTTATATTTATACATGGCCTAAAACTTCCTAATCTAAGCTCACAATGTTCTGTAGCTGCTTGACATTCAATTTAGAGTTATTATCGCCCTTTTGTTCAGCTCATGTCATCATTTTTGGAGTAGTTTTCTGCTTTCTCGCTTGGACGGAGAGATTTCTGACAATGCAAAGGGTTTTTGGTAACTATGTTAAGCATTTCTACAGTAGCAGCAGGAGCGTGAGGAACAGCTGAGTGTGGTGTACTCACTCTTGCAGTGCAGCCCCTGTTTCACAATCCCCCACAGTAAGGAGCCACAGTGGTCACAGAAAGTAGGAACCTTGTAGTTGTGGACATTGAACTTGTGAGGAACATTTATACTGAAACCCTGATTGGTTGTCTGCAAAGAGATTATGCAAAAATACATTAATATTGTAAAAGATTAATATCAACGAAACAAAAAAGCATTTCTATTTACTATTTAAACCAGTCCAGAATTAACATGCAGTTCTCAGTCTGACCAGCAGAGAGAGACAGAGCTCAAGCACCTTTCAACTACAACACTAAAACCAATATACACTCGCTGTAACCTGTGACTGTAGTGGTTGTAGTGTCAGGAGCACATATTCTGAATGGTGCAGCTCTGTTACAGGCCTCATATCCTACATTTCTCTTTCACGTTTCTTGCCTTTTTCTTGTATAAGTGGCACCACAAACGTCATAATTCATTTTTATTGACCCTTCTCCAATGCCCTGGATTGCTGTGTTTATTAAAAGGCCCATACTTTACATTTTTATTGTATTTAATTCTTCGCTTGAGGTTCACTTATGGTTTTTTTGTATTGTTTTATTAACCAAAAATAGTCATAATTAATTTTTACATGATTATTTCCCACCCTCTATCACTCAACAGGCTGTTTTTGTTACTGCGCCTTTAAAACTGATTTTTGTAAATGAGGCCTGTTCTGATTGGCTGCCCTGTGTTGTGCCTCATTCAAAAAGCAGCCCTCCTTATAATTTCAGTGTGAATGGGCGGGGCTTCTGTAGACTGAACAGGTGGTTTCCGTGACAACACTAAAACAATGAATTCAGAATTGACTTATTTTTCTATTAATTAAGTGGTTATGATGCTCCGTTCTACAGAAACCGAGTCAGAACTGTTCACAGTGGTGGTGATAGGAACCAGACGTCCACCTCTAAAAGCTCCCTACAGAAAGTTACTACATGAAATGGTTATGAATTCACTGCCTGATGACTGATACACTGTTTTATGACAATTTTTAGGTAAGATTTTGTATTTTTTTTAAATCTATTCGTAGTGTAGAGGTACACTGTGAGGCAAAATAGTCCCCAAAGAAAACTTATTATTTCAGATTTTCCACTATTTTCCATCATCAACATTCCATATAAACTCAGAAGACTCGTGTAGGTTCACTGGTGGTTCTGGATAGTAAATAAAATGTCTGTATTTGTGTTGTAGTCATGGCGACCCCTGGTTCCTATCACCACCACTGTAAAGACATCTGAACCATTTCACACCAAACCACTCTGAACCACTCTGTTCATATCCCACACACTCAATTATTCCACTTTCATTTCCGTACATGAACCATATTAGCCCGTTTCACCATGAGCTGCACTACAATCCCCAGCATGCACTGCAATGTAATTTATGCTGATATTCCCCCAACAACAATCTGTGGGACAGCAGCTTTCTACCCAATTCTACGCTGTATCGCCAAACCCACTGGCTGCGTTTCAGCTGCAGTTCAACCAACACAAACACTATAAACACTATAAACTCTCAGCAGCTCAGAAACTGATCACAAGAGCTAATAAACATGCAGCAAAGAAGAGAACCCAGCTGTCTAGATTAAGCGCACAGGTACATTTAACAGTTATCTGTATCTAAAGTAGCCTAAATATATCAAGTAATCACATGTAGTATTTTAGGGTTTACTTCAAGGGGCTATATTTTGCTGTTGACGTTTTGGTGTATTAAAATATAAACATGTGTTCGTGTTTGACACCTCTGGCCTAACTGTCAGCTTGTACGCTCACTCAATGAGAGAATCAGCCCTCTACAGTCAGACCAGAGTGATTTAACACTACAGTTGAAGATTTCTCAGGAACTGAAAGTACTGTAGATACTGTTTCTCTGAACGCGACTCAAAAGAAAGTCGCCCATTTTTAAAATATCATGTGCTTTTGATCATTTTTCAGAAGAGTTAAATCTTCAGTGAGTGGACTTCGTATCCGAGGACTGGCAAAAGCCAAACAGCTGGCAAAACACTGCTCCACCTCAGCAGTCATCATAGGGGGCATGGGTATTTGGAAAAGACGCTGCTTCCTTTAATCTTGAACCCTTTTATTTATTTAATTTCCATTCAAAAGAACCATTAAGTACAAATTATTAATGTTTTCAGTGACAGAAAATGACACAGACGCCTCAACAGCTAACTCTAATCTCAGCTGTGTGAGTCAGTGAGTCACTCTTTCCCTTCATTCCAGCTTCCATTCTTTTCAGGAGACTCACTTTCAGTTCCTCAAAGAATCTGCAGACACACCTCCAAAGTTCAGTCTTAGAAGCTGGTTGATCATTTTCTGAAGTAATCAAACACATTCAGTGGTGTTGAGGTCTGGACTCTGGGGTGGTCAGTCCATCATTCAGCTTCTTTGTTTGATGTGTCCGTCTCCTTTTCTCAGTAAGGTTCTTCTTGATCAGCTACACATCCTTTCAGACCCACAGCGCTGAGTCGTCTTCTCACAGTGGAAGGATGGACAGAAACACCTGTGGATGTTCTCAGATCTGAAGCAGCTTGATTTTCTCCTCTCTCTCAGAGATGAAAGCTTGAAGTGCTGTTTATCTGATGGGGGCAGTTTTGGTGGTCTCTTGTTTTCTATTGGCTTTTGTGCAAGTGGATTATCTTCTATCTAATCTGCTCAGAAACGTCTCCAGATAAATGAATAACTTGTACTTAATGGCTGTTTCGACTGAAAATTCAATCAATGAGGGGTCTCTAACTTTTGCACAGCCCTATATATAGTGTCCCTCTGTCTCACCTGTTCTTTGGCAGGCTTCTTCATGCGTGGACACTCGGTTACAACCAGCTGATGGCATCGTTTGTGGACAACACAGGTGCAAACTGATAGACACACAGAAGAACAAGACAACATGAATGTGCTTTGTAAACAACAGCAGCTCAGAGAAATACAGTGTTTTATCATCAGGAACAAACCTAGAGAACATGAAGAACCATGAACAGAAGGCGGCACTCAGCATTTTCTGCTAAACACACACACACACACACACACACACACACACACACACCGTGACACACACACCCTGAGTGAGCGGTTTGTTGAAAAAAGTGCAAACCCTCCACCCCACAGTGCTACCGCTACACTGTGATGGGTGAAATGATAACAAACTGAGGCCCAGCCTGAGAAACAATGGGGACAAACTGATTAAAAAATAATAACTTTAAATAAGTAAATAAAAACAAAAAAAAGCTGGATTTAAGCAAACAAACATGTTCAAGCTGCAGTTTGGGCAGCAGCTGAACACACATTTACACAAGTGGGTTGGTTTCCTGTGTGAAAATGACAGCAGAGGTGACCATGCAGGGAAAAAAAGAGAGAAAGAAAGAGAGAGAGAGAAAAGAACAGAGTGTGAGAAAGAGGAAGACAGAAAGAGACAAAGACAACCAGAGAAACAGCAAGATAAAAGGATGATCTCAACAGCAGATGACAAACTACAGCTCATCTTGAGAGACGGTTCAGATTTTTATATGCAGTGTCTCTCAATAGGGCCTGGACTGTGTAGTCCTAGTTTGTTTGTTTGTTTGTTTGTTTGTTTGTTTGTTTTTGGTGTGTATATGCATTGATATTGTGATATTTATCAAAGATAGTAAGTTTATGACATTTAAAGTAGTCAATAAAGCAGATTTAACTGATTTGAGACAGAGAGAGAGAGAGAGAGAGAGAGAGAGAGAGAGAGAGAGACTCACCCTGACACTGGTAGCCTTGTTTTCCAAACACACCCCTGTAACACAGAGAGTAGTCAGTGTGTGTGATTGTGTTTATATACAAACACAGATGCAGGAGGGGGTTTAAATTTGAGCTGCCTATTTAAAGCAAAATATACGTACATCGTGTACACAGTGACGTCATGCTAAATGCTATAGCAAACAATTTTCTTTCCATTTAACTCAATAGTTTGAATCGGTGTTTCTCAGTACAGTCCCAGTCTGACGCTTTACATCAGCTTTTTGTTTGTTTGTTTTGTATTGTTTGAGGTATGTTTGTGATTCCCTGGTGGCCAGGTAGCTTTTCCATCTTGACCAAAAACCAGCCTGGGGAAATTGGCACCATATCAGCGGAGTCTGACCAGGCTGCAAACCGCAAAACTCTGGACTGTGGTAGTGGACTTTAACAACGCAGTAGTGTTAGACTGGGCCACAAGATGGGAGACTATTTGCCACATAATGGAGTTAGACTGGGCCAAAAAGGGAGACTTTTTACCACAGTAGTGGAGTTAGACTGGGCCACAAGACAGAAGACTATTTACCACAGTAGTGGAGTTAGACTGGGCCACAAGACAGAAGACTATTTACCACAGTAGTGGAGTTAGACTGGGCCACAAGACAGAAGACTATTTACCACAGTAGTGGAGTTAGACTGGGCCACAAGACAGAAGACTATTTACCACAGTAGTGGAGTTAGACTGGGCCACAAGACAGAAGACTATTTACCACAGTAGTGGAGTTAGACTGGGCCACAAGACGGGAGATTTTTTACCACAGTAATGGAGTCAGACTGGGCCACAAGACGAGAGACTTTTTAGCATAGAAGTAGAGTTAGACTAAGCCACAAGATGGGAGACTTTTTACCACAGTAGTGGAGTTAGACTGGGCCGCAAGAGGAGAGGCTTTTTAGCACAGTAGTGGAGTTAGACTGGGACACAAGACGGGGACTTTTTACCACAGTAATGGTGTTAGACTGGGACACAAGAAGAGAGACTTTTTACCACAGTAGTGGAGTTAGACTGGGCCACAGGATAGGAGACTTTTTACCACAGTAGTGGAGTTAGACTGGGCTGCAAGATAAGAGACTTTTTAGCACAGTAGTGGAGTTAGACTGGGCCACAAAATGGGAGACTTTTTAGCATAGTAGTAGAGTTAGACTGGGACACAAGACAGGAGACTTTTTACCACGGTAGAGGAGTTAGACTGGGCCACAAGGTGGCAGACTATTTAGCACAGTAGTGGAGTTAGACTGGGCCACAGGATAGGAGACTTTTTACCACAGTAGTGGAGTTAGACTGGGCCACAAAATGGTAGACTATTTACCATAGTAGTGGAGTTAGACTGGGCCACAGGATAGGAGACTTTTTACTACAGTAGTAGAGTTAGACTGGGCCACATGCATGAATCAGTTTAACTGCATTAGATAGGGCTTCTGAGATTTGTTGACGTCACTGACCTTGTTAAAACAGTAAATGAACATGACTTGTTTAGATTAAGAGATGCAATGATAAAATAATCTACAGATTAATGTACCAGTGCATAATTGTAAGCAACAGCCCTAGAGTTACTTACAAATCACATGAAATGTGGTAGACTAAGAAAGTATATACTAACAGTCCACCCTGCAACAGGCAAAAATAGATTATATAAGCTCAAAATAACATTTTATGTGCTTCACATATGCAAAAAAAAAATGACAGTTCTTTTGTTTTAGTATTATGATTATTTTTCATGATGCTGACAATAGAGGGCGCTGTAACAGCCTCACTTCAGAAAACATGCCAATATGCATGTGCGCACGTACCATATGAAGTCTTTGCAGTGGAAGCAGAAGGTGGGCTGTTTGAGGAAAGTGGACATGAACTTGTGCCCGTTGACCTGATGGACCCTGCGGCGGACGGCCTGCTGCCGTTTCCTCGTTAGCTGTTTATACTGATGAGGGGTCACTGCAGTGTCGTCTGAAGGAAGGAACGAGAGAAAACAAACACAGGAGAAGTGAAAAAGAGAAAGATGTAAATAGATGAGCGAGTGGGCAAATTCAAATCTGCTGGAAAGGGGAACAGTGTTTTTATTATTATATTACATGTCTTCCCCATCTTTCAGCAGCAGACTTTATACTGAGGACTCATTTTCCTCGAACACTCATTACAATACTTACATTTTTACAAAATACACATTTACACTCATCATCGTGAAAAAGGATCATTTCAAATAAAACGTACACAACCTGAGGGTAACGGGGCAGTAAACACATCATGTAAACATAAAATTAAGTATAAAATAAATAAACAGGCCTACAGTTTTCAGCTCACTGTGGTCATTTGAATGTGTGTTAGATTTTACACTATTTTACCAACTCCAGTTTAACCATTAAAGAGACAGTTCAGCAATAAACAAATTTCCAGTTTCCACTCTTTCACGCCAAATGCAGTCGATCAGTCGGGACATGTTGGGCGTTTGAAGTTTGCTTCTTTAGCTTTAGCACTGGAGCTACACAGCTAATGTCGCTAACAAATAATGGAAGCTTATGTACACCAATTAGCATGGTGCTAACTGCACACCTAAATCATCACATACTTCCCTCAAACTGTGTGGAGTAATCTCTAATAGACTTTCTCTCTCTCTCTCAGAGAGAGGAGAGCAAAAGAGGAGAGAGAGAGAGAGAGAGAGAGAGAGAGAAAGAGAGAGAGAGAGAGAGAGGGGAGGGAGAGGGAGAGAGAGAGAGAGAGAGAGAGAGGGAGGGAGAGGGAGGAAAGAAAAAGAGAGAGAGAGAAGATGTGTGAGAGAGAAGGCAGAGAGAGAAAGACAGAGAGAGAGGGAGGAAAGAAAGAGACAGAGAAAGTGAAGACGAGAGAGAGAGAGAAGGTGTAAGAGAAAGAAGAAAAAGAGAGAAAGACAGAGAGAGAGAGGGAGGAAAGAAAGAGACAGAGATAGAGATAGAGATAGAGATAGAGAGAGAGAGAGAGAGAGAGAGAGAGAGACCTCATTAACATTAGCAGGCTGATGTACAGCTAGCACTGTTAACCACATGTTAGAGGAAATGCGCCTCGCTGCCCCCCAAATCCCCCACACCGCCTCGCTGTGTGTGTGTGTGTGTGTGTGTGTGTGTGTGAGTGTGAGTGTGAGTGTGTGTGTGTGTGTGGTGTGTGTGTGTGAGTGTGTGTTTACCGCCGCCACAGAGACGCACGCAGTGTGTTAGTAGAACACTGACAGTCACAGTCAGACTCAGAAGTGACACAAGATCAAAGAAAACATGACAGATATCATCTTTCATTTACTTCACTGTATTTTATTTACTGTACACGCACTGTTATCATTATTTGTTTCCTTTTGTCTTTCATGTATCGTCGTATTTATATCAAAGACAGCTTATTAACATTCTTTTATTTATTTATTCATCCCCGGAAAACGTCTTGTATTCATTTATATGTTAATGATTATAATTTAATGATCATAAACACATTTTACACAGCACACAACCTTTACCCATCAGTTCAACTACAACTGAAATAAGGGGATTCGTGTGGACACACACACGCGCTAACGGGGGCGGGGAGCTGTGACTTAATGAACAACTTATTAAAGTTATTGTATACCTTTTTGAAGCACTGATTAAACTGGATTAATTATTTACAGGACTGATTAAACTGGATTAATTATTTACAGGACTGATTAAACTGGTTTAATTATTTACAGGACTGATTAAACTGGATTAACTTAATGAAGACCTGATTAAACTGGTTTAACTTAATGAAGGACTGATTAAACTGGTTTAACTTAATGAAGGACTGATTAAACTGGATTAACTTAATGAAGGACTGATTAAACTGGTTTAACTTAATGAAGGACTGATTAAACTGGATTAACTTAATGAAGGACTGATTAAACTGGTTTAACTTAATGAAGGACTGATTAAACTGGATTAACTTAATGAAGGCCTGATTAAACTGGTTTTACTTTGTGAAGGACTGATTAAACTGGTTTAGTATAATGAAGGCCTGATTAAACTGGTTTAACTTTGTGAAGGACTGATTAAACTGGTTTAGCATAATGAAGGCCTGATTAAACTGGTTTAGCATAATGAAGGCCTGATTAAACTGGTTTAGCATAATGAAGGCCTGATTAAACTGGTTTAACTTTGTGAAGGACTGATTAAACTGGTTTAGCATAATGAAGGCCTGATTAAACTGGTTTAGCATAATGAAGGCCTGATTAAACTGGTTTAGCATAATGAAGGCCTGATTAAACTGGTTTAACTTAATGAAAGACTGGTTAAACTGGCTTACCTTAACAAAGCACTGATTAAAGAAGGAGAGAGAGAGAAAGGAGAGAGAGAGACAGAGAGAAACAAGAGAGAAAGAAAAAGAGAAGAAAGAGAGAAGAGATGGGGTGAAGGAGAGAAAGACAGAGAGGTAAGAGACGTAAAAAAAGAGGGAGAGACAGAAGAGACAGACAAAGAGGAGAGAGAAAGACAGAGGTAAATGAGAGAGAGAGAGAGAGAGAGAGAGAGAGAATAGGGACACGCACAGAGGAGAGAGTGTTTCCTCTCTGATAGACACGCATGGTTTCTCTTCTTAACATTTATAGCATTTCTGATACTGAAACTGCATGTGTGTCTCTGTGTGTGTGCATGTACGTGAGTGTGTGTGTGTGTGTATATGTATGAGTGTGTGTGTGTGACAGGAACACACACTATTTGAAGTCTGGTACATCTAAATATACAGCGACGTCCAGTAGTCTGAGAGCAGCAGTGAAACGCGTGTATTTTCCATTCTTTTCTAATTGAACTCGACACTGTTCATCACAAATTACATTAAACAGAAGCATCTGCAGCCTTAAGGTCCAACAGTGCACCTTAAATGAGATTTAAAGCTAGACTACATTCGCGTTCTCAGGTGTCTGGAGTCAGTATTAACTTTAAAAACATTTCTAACAACCTTTGGCACTAATGAAAGCAGCGTGGGAGCAAATGTCACAGCTCACCCCCCCAACAGGGCGCCTCCTCCAGACCGAGGGGCTGGTTTAGAGTGACTGAAAGCCTGGGGTCGGACTCACGGAGGCTTTATTAAGAAAAAAACTGTGAAGGATCTTAAGACAAACACTAAAACGTTCATAAGATTGGGCCTCTTTCACCAACATCTTCTTAAGTGTGTTCTTGAGAAAGGTTCTAAGAAAAAAGTTTACGTCAGATTCATGACGTGTTCTTAAAGCGCAGAACTGTTCTCCCCTTTGTGCTCTTGAGTGTGTGTAGACTCTGCTCTTACCTCAGAACAAATCCCAGATAAGAAACACTGGTGAGTCAGAGTCTTCGTCAAAAGTGCGTAAGTGGGTTTTAAGAGGAAATTTCTTAAGAACGGCTGGTGAACGAGGCCCAATGTTCTTAAATTATATTCCCCCAAAAAATGTGATAAGTTCTCAAACGTTCTCTTCAGACAATCTTAATTCCTTAAGGTTGCCTTAAGAAAATCTGCATTGTTTTCTTATGTTGGCTGTGGTGCATCTTATAGCTTAACATAAACGATGTGAGATATTGAACTTTGAATTTATATTAATTGTTTTTTTCCGTTATTTAGTTTAATCCACTCAGAGGAGCAAAATAGAGGAAAAACATCTAATCAAGTAAATTTAAAAATTTAAAAATTTAGCAAATACACACCAATCAGGCATAACATTATCCTTATTTCTAGGCTCATTGTCCATTTTATCAGCTCCACTTACTATATAGGTGCACTTTGTAGTTCTACAGTTACAGACTGTAGTCCATCTGTTTCTCTGATACTTTGTTAGCCCCCTTTTACCCTGTTCTTCAGTGGTCAGGACCCCCATGGACCCTCACAGAGCAGGTACTATTTGGGTGGTGGATCATTCTCAGCACTGCAGTAACACTGACGTGGTGGTGGTGTGTTAGTGTGTGTTGTGCTGGTCTGAGTGGATCAGACACAGCAGTGCTGCTGGAGGTGTATCTAGAGCTGACGGTGGAAGAAACAGCAAACAGGAAAAAGTGTTTCTTAGAAAATATGACGACTGTGGAGTGACGGCGGAGAGTGCAGCATCTTCGTGAAACCTGCGTAAGTGGGCTTTAAGAAGAATTTTCCTCTGAAGAACGGTTGGTAACTGATCCTCACTCCTGTCTTAGGCTGTGAGATTTGACGAGGTCGGCATTTGAATCGGTTATCAAACTCGGACGCTGCCTCTGCTGCTCCTTATACAGTTTTCACAAAGATTCTGCACTCTTAGAAATACAGGTACTAAACTGTCGCTGGGTCAGTTCCCTTCTTGCCTCTGGGGTGGAACCCTCAAGGGTCCATCTCAGTACCTTTAGTCAGGGAACATAACTGAACCATAATCCACTGAAATGATATGTTCTAAGCTGTACTGACTCCACACACCCCGTCTCGTCTCCAGGCTTTTATTTTACTGTTCTGTTTAAAACATTTGGTTATGAAAAGGTACAAATACGAACTTTTCACCTGGAGAAACTTATTTAAGGTTCACAATCAGACCTTAAAACCACTGTTGGAGCTTTGAGGGAACAGTTACACTGTCTGTACCTGCACAGAACCTTTATTACTAACAGTCTGACATTCACCAGTGTTTCTTATGTGGGATTTGTTCTGAGGTAAGAACAGAATCTAAACACACTCAAGAGCACAAAGGAATCTGATGTAGACAAACTTAGGGAGATATTGGAGAACGAGGCCCAGTGTTTTCAAGAATACCACTTGCTCTTAGAATTTACCATAAGATAGATATAAGAAAATAGTTAAGAAAAAAAACAAAAAAGTTATTTGAAGAATAACAATTTTTCCTGACTTTATTCTTAAGAAGGAAGTTAAGAAAAAACACATTTAAAAAGATTTTCTTTCCTAAGACACTTCGATGAATCATGAATCTGCCCCCTGGTACATTAATGCAAAACACAATTAATTGAATACAAGATGTTCCAAAACCCCATCATGCCTTGCACGAAATATGTACAAAATGCCCGGCAGTTTGTAAACAGATGCTCTAAATCCTCACTAACAGCACAAATGTTGGAGCGAACCAACACAACGTTAAAACGAACGAGGACGATATGAAGAAGAGGTAAATCACATACACTCTTAAAAAACATCTTCAAGGGTTCTTTAGTAAAGACAATGTTTCTACATAGAACCATTTGAATACTTAAATGGATCTTTACATGGTGAAATTATTCTTCAGATTGATGGAGAATGTGCTGTATATGGTTCTATACAGAACCTTTTTGAAAAGCATTCTATACAGCACCAAAAAAGGGTTCTGCTTTTCTGGAAGGTTTAGGCTTGAAATGACGGACCGATCTAGAAACCTGCCGAGGGTAAAAAAACAACACGTGCTTTTAACAACATCTTCATCATTCATGCTGTAAACTGGACGACGCGCGACTGACTCTGTGTGATGTCTGTATAACTGTGTTCTGATCGGTGAAAATTTCCAGTAGTTCGGTTAAACAGCTCTGCAGCACAGACGGCGTGTATGAACAGACTCGGCCTGATGCATCACCGGTTTACTGAAGCTGATAAGGTGAAAGATCACACATCTTCTTTGTAGCGTTTTCATTTAAATACAGATCAAAGTTGATTTACAAATCACTGCTTTCTGTTTGCATTTGCATTTCACACACTCAGTGCGTTTACATGTTACATAATCTGATCATAATCAGATTTCTGCAGTTATCCGATTACTCAAATGACCATGTAAACACCATACCCCAATCTAGAAATCTGATCATGAAATCTGATAAAGAGGCTGGATTTTAGCTCAGTAATCAGATTTCTCAGTGCTGTAAACTCTTACTCTGATTTCTTTCAGATTTCTCAGTCTGTGTGAAAACAGACGGCGGTACCGGAAATAAGCGAGCAGCGTCGCCGCGTTAAAGAGGCGCGATATTTAAAAAAAAGTCACGGCATGAAGTTTGAGTTTGTCATTATGTTTACATCGCGTCTTCTTCTGACAGTTTATTGGCTGGTTGTAAAGCAGAAATCTGATTACTATCTGACCCATGTAGACCTGGAGTTTCCCCACTATCTGATTACTCAAGTGCATGTAAATGCATTGATTGGATTACTGACAAAATCTGATTTTCTGCAGCTGTCGGATTATTAAGTGCATGTAAACACACTCAGTGTCCCAACTTTTTTGGAATGTAGTCTGAAATGTTACAAACTATTCACTAAAAAAGGAAACTAAAAGTTTATTCACAATTTAAAGCATTTTGGGAACATTGGGCCTCATTCACCAACATCGTCCTAAGCCTGTTTTTAAGTGTGTTCTTGAGAAAGGTTCTAAGAAAAAGTCTACGTCAGATTCATGACGTGTTCTTAAAGCGCAGAACCGTTCTCACCTTTGTTTTCTTGAGTGTGTGTAGATTCTGTTCTTTCCTAAGAACAAATCCCAGATATGAAACACTGGTGAATATCAGAATCTTCGTGAGAACTGCGTAAGTGGGTTTTAAGAAAAAACTCTTTATAAAGTCGTTTGGAGAATGAGCCCCAATGTATTAAATGCAATTCTCAAAAAAACATAAGTTGTTCTCAAATATTCCCTTAAGAAAATCTTAATTGTTTTCTTATGGCTGTGGTGCATTTTACAGCTTACCATAAACGACACAAGATATGTTTTGAATTTGTTTGTGAACTGTTATTTTGATTATTTAGTTTAATCCACTCAGAGGAGCAAAATGGAGAAAAAATATCAAACCAAGCATTTAAAAAAATTAACAAACAAGATCTGGAGGTGATCATGGAAGAAACAGCCAACAGGAAAAAAATCCTTAGAAAATACGATAATTGTGGAGTGATGTCAGAATCTTTGTAAAAACTGCATGTTTTTTTTTTTTCCCCCAATTTTCCCCCAAATTTAGTCGTCTCCAATTCCACCCACTAGTCAGGACTCCCCCAATCACACAATACTACCAGCGCTAGGAGGGTGAAGGCTAACATAGGCTTCCTCCGAGTTCTGTGAAGCTCCACTGCATCTTTACACACTGCTGGTAATGCAACGTCACTGCACAGCTGAACGCGCTCGGAGGAGACGCTAACCACCAGATCTGTTACGCCAGCTAACAGACGCCTAAGCTGACTAGCATTGTGCTGAGTAACGGGGGTGGGGCGGGGGGCCATCCTACCCACCCAGAGAGGGCGAGGACAACTATGCTCTCTTGGACTCCCGGACACGGACAGCTGGAGCATCACCAGGGATCGAACTCGTAAGTGGGTTTTAAGAAGAAACTTCTTCTTATAAACTGTTGGTGAACGAGGCCCAGTGATGTTTCAGTTTGTCTCTCTCCCCCACTAATGATGAATTCTCATACCAGAGCACAGAATCAGTAAGTAGATTAGTTTCTCCAAGATCAGCTGTAGCTCTGTTTGCCTGTGTGCATGTTCCTCTTACCGTCAGCGAAAGATCCGTTCAGAGTGATCACAATGTACACTTTGCCCTCTGGCTCCAGGTCAACCTGCCAAACAAACATATCAGTTTAACGAGCTTTATTACTCGAACAGTTTCACACACAGTATCACCAAAGCACTTATAAGGAGCAGTACAGCAGTATTAGTAATAATGTGTTCATTATAATAAATAAACATAGTAGTAATAATAATAATCTTTATCCATACAGCACTTTTCATGCCGATGGCAGCTCACAGTGCTTTACAGACGAGTGGCAAAGCTTAACAGTAGTAGAAGAAACCATTAGTGTCATTTTAAAGTCATATAAAATAATGACACAGATCAAATACACATTTAAGACACCTGTTTAACCAGCGACCCAGAGTTAAAGTGTTACTGTGACACAATGATCCACTTTGTAATCGATCAGCCGACCTGCTAACTGGTTTATATTAGCTTCCATTATTTGTTAGCTACATTAACCTTGTAGCTCCAGTGATGAAAGTAAAGAAGTACACTTCAGATATCAAACGTGTCTCAGCTGACTGACTACATTTGGGGCAGGGGGGAGGCGTGAGGGGGTAAGGAGGAACAGCAGACCGGGTAAAGCTGATTATCAGTTTAATTTCACACTACGTGGCTTTGTGTGGTCGTGTCCTGTTTGTAGGCTATCTGTGATCATCTAAACACACAGGAAACACCTCCGAACAAAACAGCATCAGCAATACAGAGTGTGTGTGTGTGCACATGTGCGTGTGTGTATGTGTGTGTATGTGTGTGCAATGCTGAACAAAGCAGAAGATGTAGGACTGGTTACACTGCTTTTTGTAAACAAAGAGAGACCGATGTTACGCATACAAAGAGGGAGAGAGAGAGAGAGAGAGAGAGAGAGAGAGCAAGTGAGAGAATTTTATGTCTATCTATCTATATAGATAGATATATAGATAGATAGATATAAAATTCTCTCGTAATATATATATATATATATTTTTATATATATATATATAGTTTTTTTTTATGGAGATATATATATATATATATATATATATACACACAATATATTTATATAATCTTGCTGCTGTCCAAACAAAACTTTGTATCTCCAAAATAATAACTTTACAGGAGATGGAAAAAACTTATTTACTTTTAATGTAAGTCAATGGAACCAGACGTTTTTCCAAGTAATTTTGGACAGTTTCTTTTGGTCCATTCATCATGAAATTTAAACACAATGTGAACAGCAACAGTTACTTTCAAATGTCAAAAGCTGAAAAATGGCAAAAATACAGATACAAGGTTGTGTTCCAACAGCAGCGATATATATATATATATATATAGACACACATAGAGTGCGTTTACATGTACTTGGGTCATCAGATAATGCGGAAACTCCAGGTCTACACGAGTCAGACAGTAATCAGATTTCTGCTTTACAACCAGCCAATAAACTCACAGAACACGACGTGACGAAAACATAATGTAAAACTCAAACTTCATACCGCAGCTTTTATTTTAAACATTCAGCCACTTTACCTGAAAAAAATGAACATACATCATCTAGAAGATGAAGAATATTTACATCCTTCATTTCGTGTTTGGTTTCAGCGCCGCTCCAAAAGTGTTTTGCTGCGTCTCATGGCTGCTTGCTCATATCTGGTACTGTCAGTTTGATCTCACGTGTTCGAACTGTCTGTTTTCGGACATGCACAGACTGAGAAATCCGAAAGAAATCAGAGTAATGTACTGAGAAATCTGATTACTGAGCTAAAATCCTGCGGATTTCTTAATCGGATTTCTAGATTGAAATATGGTGTTTACATGACCATTTGAATAATCATATAACTGCAGAAATCTGACGATGATCGGATTATTGAGTGCATGTAAACGCACACAGTTTTATATGTATAAAATATCAATCAATGGAAAGAGAGAGCAAGGCAAGAGTGAAGGAGAGAGAATTAGATCTATATAGAAAGAGAAAAGAGAAGGAGAGAGAAAGAGAGGAAAACATAACTGGAGACAGACAAACAGAGACAGAGAGAGAGAGAGAGAGAGAGAGAGAGAGAGAGAGAGAGAGAGAGGCCTGTGCATCCTCAGGCTAATTTAATGCTAATAATTAGCATGACTGAGGTGTGAGAGTGTTTACAGTGAAATAAACTGGAGAGTTTATCATCAATCAGAGCAGCACGAGCCAAAGTCCACTTCAGCTCAGATCAGATAAAGTTCCCACGCTGAAGAGCCTGATTAGCAGCAGTGTAGGCGCTAACGCTACGCTACGCTACACCAGCAACAAGTCAGCACAAACTCTGAATCACAACTCAGCACCAATACTCTACATTTACTGTGAAGCAGAGGAGGCGTCGTTCTGGAAACTTCTGGAGTTTTAGTTTTACTTCAGTTCCATTCAGTGCCTTCAGTACAGCTTTACTGGCATGATAACGGTTAGCTTCAGCAGCTGTCGCTAAAGCATCACTGAAACAAGAACAAACCTGAGAATTTCACTAATAAATTTACACATTTACTTTGTGCAGTTTGTGCAAAAATCTTAGGCGGCTTGAAAACTTGAAAACTATTTATCTGGACAGTGACTTAGCCAGTAAGAACACTATAGAACGTTAAACTGAGTACAAATAAACATAAATACAGTAAAAAATGTGAAATACAGTTAGAAGAACACAGGTTTGGTTCCTGACTTCTTGCTGCACCTGATTTAATGTAATGAAGGACTGATTAGATAAACTGCACTTGGTTCTTCAAGGGTTCTTCAGTAAAGGCAATGGTTCTCAAAGGACCGTGAGTTTGTCACAGAACAATCTGCATGCTTGAATGGTTCTCTGCATGGTGATTGAATGGATGATGTGTTGTATATGCCTCTAGAACCAAAAAGGGTTACGCTATTGTGTATGATGTCGAGCTTGTAGCAACAGCAGAACCATTTTAGTGCTATACACTGTTGTACATGGTTCTATATAGCACCAAAAATGGTGCTTCTATTGTTACAAGCTTGACATCATAACAATATCAGAAGCTTGTTTGGCGCTACATGGAACCCTTGCCAAAAAGGTGCTACACAGAACCATCTAAACCACATTGCCCTTCAATCTGAAAAACGCTTTCATGATGCAAAGAACTCTTTAAACATGCAAGGGGTCCTTGAGTGCTCATGGTTCTGTATAAAACCTTTTTTTTTTTTACTAAAGAACCCTTAATGGACCATCTTTTTAAAAAGTATAGCAATAGAAGAACCATTTTCAAATAGGTTCTACATAGAACGATGTACAACACATTCTCCATCAATCTGAAGAAACGTTTCATCATGCAAAGAACCATTTAAGTATGAATTGGTTCTATATAGAACTCACACACACAAACTTTCTAAGACGCTTATCCTTTTGGGTCATGGGGGTGCTGAAGCCTATCCCAGCAATCATTGGGCACAAGGCACGAAACACCCTGGATGGGTCGCCAGTCCATTGCAGGGCTATACAGAACTCTTGGTTCCAAATAGAACCATTAACTCTACCAAAGAACCCTTGAAGAACCATCTTTTTTCAGTGTGTAGGTTTATGGGTGGTGACTGTAAATGCTGGACTGGAGTGTTTGGAAATGGGAAAAGACACAAACTGTATGGCAGGATGGACAGTTTATCAGTGCTGGACAAACAGCTCATTTAGGGATATAATGGCAAATTTATTAGTTATATTTTAGAGTTGAAACATGCAGCTCTGTCAGATTTGGGTGGATCTAACACTCGACACAAACCAAATTCACTCACTCATCTATAATTTATTTTAAAACAGGAAATGAAATGAGTTCCACATTTGACAGAACCAATACAGAGAGTAATAACATCAGCAAACGTTTTACTTCCTCTGGAATTTCAAAATCTGAAAGAAAAAATGAAGAGGTTATTTCAGCCACATTACAGGGAGGCTATTTTTAACATTAGAAGTCCAGAGCCAGCACGGTCAGTCATTCAGCAGTACTTAAACATAACTGCATAATAAAGTGCCCATATGTCTGATTTACAGTCTGTATTGAGAGGATCAAGTCTGCACTTTGGAATTGTCTGATTGTTTTGACATAAAAAAAGGAGAAAAATGTAATAACCCCACATCAGATTCAAATCATAATAAAATATCTCCTCTTCTGCCTACAAACACAATGAATGTGTTTTCATGCTTGAGTAATCAGATAATAGGGAAACCCCGGGTCTACATGAGTCAGACGGTAATCAGATTTCTGCTTTGCAGCCATCCAATAGACTCACAGAAGAAGATGCAACGTAAACGTAATGTAAAACTCAAACTTCATGCTGCGGCTTTGGTTTTTTTAAACATCGCGCCTCTTTACCTGAAAAAAAATATGAACATACATCATCTAGAAGATGAAGAACAATTAAATCCTTCATTGTGTCAAGCATGTATTTGGTTTCAGCGTCACTCCAGAAGTGTTTTGCTGCGTGTTGCAGCGACGTTGCTCATTTATTTCCAGTACCGCCGTCTGTTTTCGCACATGCGCAGACTGAGAAATCCGAAAGAAATCAGAGTAAGAGTTCACATGCACTGACAAATCTGATTACCGAGCTAAAATCCAGCCTCTTTATCAGATTTCTTAATCAGATTTCTAGACCTTATTCTGATCTAAGAAATCAGAGTGTGCTGTTTACATGGCCATTTGAATAATCAGATAACTGCAGAAATCACATTATGATTGGATTATTAAGTGCATGTAAACACACTCAATCTCTTCACTTCTTTCAATGAGCTGCGAGTCAGAAATAATACACATAAACTACAGCATGCTTTTGTTATCATTAGTAATAACACCTGACTTCAGTTTAATATCAAGTATTTTATGTAATATTCATTTTAATAACAACAACAAAAAGTACTAATGATTAGACGCAATGTCTAATGGAATATTTCGGAATATGATGCAAATACATTACGTTTCAATCTGTAATGTATTTCCCACATATTCCATTTTTGTATGGGCTGAAAAACTAATAAACTACTACAGTCACTTCCATATCACTGAGCTCAGATGAGCACAGACAGGCACAGG